TTAAAAGCATTGGTGCTACTGCAGATGTCAACAGACTACCAGCAAACACAATGTTTGCAGGACTTCTAGAACCAGCCTAACAACCAACCAGGATAAAGTAACATACTCCAGGATCTGAGGTAAACTGTTTTGTGGCGCTTGATCATGCAGCAAGTCCAGTTTAACAAGAAACACTTCTGTCACAGACACTTGGCTTACTTTGTTAAAGAGGTTTACCTGTCCAGCAGAAAGGTTACTGGGTCTGTAAGATGCCTGAAGCGTTCCCCATTGTTTATGCTGATGTTGGCCCGGCTTTTTAGCTCTTGTCAGTCTACCTCCTTCTTAAGCGCCTGTTGTTCCGCCAGAGTCTCTGGTATTTACTTTGTTTCCTTGCTTGTGTTGGCAGTCGTGGTCAAAGGAGGATTCAGACACTTTTCCATACTTTCTGGTTGGTTTCTACTGTCCGATATTGTAGCACGCTAACTTTGTTTGGGCTCGTGAACCACTCGGGGGAGCAGCAACTGCCTCACAACCAATCAGCACTAAGGAGCAGCGTTCACCTCACAACCAATCAGGTTGGGGGAGGCGGAGAGTGGCTTTGTTTACAGTCAGAAAGAGCGGGCCGCTCAAAAAATTTTAAATGTTGACTACACAGACATAATAAAACACAGCGATATCGTTATATTACCAAATGTCATCAATAACTAATTGCTATTGACTGATATTAAAAGCTTTTTTGTACATAGACACCACAAAAAAAGATGCTTCTTTAACAGATTCCTGCCAACCCCACCTTCAAGTTCTAAGTCAGATATACATAAGAAAGCTGACAAGCTCTTTGATGGCAGATGTGACTGTTACAACACTTAGGGTGACAAACAATCACTGAGTTACAAAACACAGGTCATATCAAAAGAAAAAGTGTGATATCTTACAACTGTTGCTCAAAAGTCAACTTCACCTTTGCAAAAGTCTCAGAAATTTGCACAAAAATGCACCCAACATTTCATATCTCACAAGAAACAAATGAATGTGCCACACTGACTCATCAGTACAGCAACACATAATAAGGTTAGATATTATAGCAGCAGAGCATGTATTATATGCCTCACTCAAACTTAAAGGACCACTGCAGTCATGGGTGCACTCAGAGGGCTCTATTTTAGTGTCCGCCGGCCATGCAGCGGAGGGTGGCGGATCCTGCGCAGTGGTATTTTCTTCTGGCGGAGGCAAGCATACAGCCAGTTTGGTATTTTCGTGGACTGAGGCGCACCGAGGTCTGCCAAGCTGGGCGTGGTGGTGTGGCAGGGGAAGGTGTCGACAGAATCAGCTGGCGCAGTGACATTTTCGCGTTCGCTGACGGCGTGGAAAGTGCGCTGAGCTCGCCGATTGAAACCTGGTCAGCCTTCAGCGCAGGCGGAGCGCAGCTGGTCTAGTGGTATTCTAGTAGACCAGCGCCTTATCGGCATACGTCACCGATGCCTCACCGGCAGGTTTTCACAGTGTCAGGCACATTTCAGTGGAATAAATAATCAACAACAACTAATAATCTGAGTCAGCACATACATTTAGATCTATATCGATATATTCTGATCTATATCTGATCTGATGAGCGCATTTGGCACACGTTTGGACACTCAACCTGACCGAACTAACACAGCTGAAACCGCATTAAATTAAACATCTAGTAAATAAACACACATGATGAAGTTAACAAGATAGACAATTCGTCTCCCTCCTTTTCTTTCTTCCTGGTCCTCTTATTCCTCGCGCAGCTCAACCTGGACATGTCTCTGTGTCCTCTCCCCGTCCTGCTGCAGCTGCTGCCGCGGCGGCTGAACCGATAATTTATTTAAGTGATCAGATGAGTTATTTACTGTAAGCCTACATACGGATATTATAATATTCAGTTGTGTGAGCCAAATTTATTTTATATGCCAACATCTATGAAAGAAAGAGCCAGGCCACGGAGCGCGATGCGTCATTTACGCACAGATGGTTCTGATTTGAATGCCATTATTGTAGTTTATGTTGTGATCTGTGCGCACAACCCATCTTTGTCACGCAAGGATGCAACTTTATGTAAGTGTCTTTATTTGTGAAAAAGGGTGTTTGTCTTACCAGTGGGTCCAACATTACACACACCAAATCCATCTGTGCTTATGTGAGACAGTGTGGAGGACGCCCTCTGCAGCGTTTACAGCGACCCTTGTTGAGAAGCTGCCTTCTGTCGCCATCGTGTGGCATTGCTGTCTGCAGCCATCTCTTGATCTCTTTGACTACTTCTATTTGTAATACACCTCGACCGGTGGCGGATTTAAAGGCAAGGAGAGGAGCTTATGTTATTGGTCAATACAGGTCTTGGCTGTGTTAAACCCACTCCACACCCTCTCTCCTCCTTCCCTACGACTTACGCCTGGGAGTAGCTGAGTTAGGGAGGGGGGATACTTACACCGGGCTGCGTCGCTCACCAAAATACCAAATTGTGTTTGGGAACGCCTTGTCGGCGCGGCATACCTGACTTACGCCACGCTTGTGCCACGTCTCTGGCAAGGCACGAAAATAGAGCCCAGAGTCTTTTGCAAAACATTAATGGCAATCTCTGAAAACTAAGTGACGCTGGCAAAAGCCAAGTCATCTCCGGTGTGAGTAGATCATTGTGAAAACTGCCCAACAGAGTCTCTCTTTCATCAAGTTGGTCATGGTAAGAAACCTTACACCATGTTTATGTTGCTCTACTTTTAACGCTCATGTTTGTGTGTCCATTTATGTGGGTCCAATAACTTCACTGAACATCATGAAAACCCATGTCCATGACTAACTCGTGCTTTGTTGTCATCATCAACTTAATGGGTTCATTCAGCTTCAGTCGGCTGGATCAGCTTCTGTCTCAAATTCTAGACTGTCATGAAGAGAAGAAGCACAGCTTTTAGTTGCAGACATTCAGTCCATCATTAGACGCCTCCATTGTCCACAGTACTGCTCAGCTACTTGACAGACTAGCTATGCAATCTTACTCTGCTTTTACCTGGAAAAATGACATGACCAAGCTTTACTTTTTAAGTTTTGGGTCTTTCAGCTGAGCATCACAGCAGCAAGTCTCAACTACAGCAACTTGGTTGTTGAATTTTCAATACTTTGCTATCTTTCAACAACACGTGTATTAAAATGATCTTTACATAGTATTGAAAAGTACGAGGCTCATGAAAGAGAATGATCTATAGTCATGTTTTCAACTTAAAGAGAAAGGAAAGATACAAAGGTACGTAGAGAAAGTACAGAGAGAGAGATGATGGCTAATGAAAACAAAGCAGTGAAACACAAAATACAGTCAGACATCATTCTTCTTCAGTGTGTGAATATAGTTGGTCTCTCAGTGACTCCTTCAACTGTCGTAATAACAATACTTGATTTTTACTCATATCTAATTCTGCTGTCATGGCAGCTTAATGTGGTCATATCATTGGACAGAGGGGAAAATATTTAAAAGCCCATGATGGTTTTCTTTCTTTTTTAACCTTAATTTAACCAGGAATGTTCCAATGAGATTTAAAACCTCTTTTTCAAAGGAGTCCTGGCCAAGAGACATTGAAAAATTTCAGATCAACAATGACATACAAATTAGATAAAACATTGACAACATCTTTAACATCCAACTACTTTTCCTGTTTATTGAATTTGCCCTTTTTCCTACTTGAAACAAACTTTCAAACTTTACATGTTGACATTGTTACAAACCTTTAGTTTTGCTTTGCAGTGAGTCACATGTGAGTCTCTCTTGGTGAAATGTTAATAAATTGATAATTTCACTATTTGATGGGGTTCTCCAGAAAAGGAATAACAAATACACTTCATTGAACTGGATGAAAAGAAATTGATAAACAGATACACCCCATCATTCAACAAGACATACTGTTGAAGGTTGTTTCACTTGACAGTCATCTCGATATCCGGTAACATACAGAGCAATGCATGAATGGAGCTCACTTCCTAATGTTACCAAACACTCAATACTCTGCGCTTGTTTTTAAAAAAATCACTAAAACCACACAGAAGACAGATATTGATTACTCCTGGTGTGGTCTAATACTTCTATGGGCTTTTAATGTTCAAATGTTCTTTTCAGTTTGTGACAGATTCAATCAGAGCCTGTGTAGCCTACTGTCTGTGTACTGTCTCCTTCTTTACATGTAGGAAGCCAAGACACAAAACAGGTTTGTCCACGCAGGCTTCTGTAGAAGTGTCAGAAAGAGGCTGGAACTTGTCATGCATACTGCATCGTTAAAACCCAAGCACTGCTTTCAATTTGTTGGCACTCTCTCTTTCTCTCTCTCTCTCTCTCTCTCTCTCTCTCTCTCTCTCTCTCTCACACACACACACACACACACACACACACACATACACATACATGCGCACACACACTGGTAAACATACAGAAGCACGCTACCTATCACTCAAGACACAACAACACATGCAATCCACCAGCCAGCAGAGAGGAAGAGATTTGCCTGCTACAGTTTTTGGTGGACATCGCACACACACACACACACACACACACCATCCTCTGGGTTAGACACTCACACACATACAGGCAATGCGTGCATAAAAATAATCACACAATCACTCTGCACATCAGTAAAAGCAGCAAGCGTGTCTTGTGCCGGTGCAGCATTGCTGGAGGACGTTGTTCAGAGAGCGATTCAAAGCAGAGACGCACACACACTCAACACACACACACATGTTCACACAGCAAAACACAGAACAGCTGCACAGCTCATACACCAGGCTGTGCAGCAGCAGCTCTTGTCCGTCTTCACACACAACGCACACACATATATACGCATATACGCACACACACACTCACACACAGTCACATTGAGACACTCTTGATCAAACAAATCCGCCTGCAAGCATGCGTTGCAACATCTGTCAATCTATCAAATCGATCCTGCCTGGCCGTCCATGATGTCCACACACATGCATCCCTCCCTCCAGCAACCCCGCATCTCCCCCAGCAACTAGAGGGAGAGCAGGAGAGGGAGGGAGGGAGGGGAGGGGAGGGTAAAGGGGGCTATGAAAAGCCATGGCAGGTACCTGTAAATGAACCAGACGCTCCTATTCACAGGGCCGAGCGATGGCCAGGAAGAAGAGAGGGAGAGGGAGAGGGAGAGATCCTCCTCGCCGCATGCCCCCATCGCCATTCCTCCCCTCCCTCTCCTCTCCTCCTCCTTCTCCTGCTCCTTCTCCTTCTCGTCTTCCAGCGAGAAAGCAGCGAGCGCGAGTCGCGAGAGAGGAGGAGGAGGAGGAGGTAAAGGTGGAGGAGAGAGAGATGGAAGAAGGGAAAGGGAGAGGGCCGAGCTCTCCCAGCCCCTTCATTCTTAAGACAGAGCGAGAAAGAGAGAGAGAGAGAGGAGAGAGATGGAGATGGTTCATTGTGACTGCGACACAAGGAAAGAGAGAGAGAGAGAGGAGAGAGAAAAGAGGAGCAGGAGCAGAGGAAGGGAGGAGAAGGTAGCTTTAAAAAAGAAGGGAGAGAAATGAGGTAATTTAGAAAAAGAAAGAGAGAGGGAGAGGGGTGATTGAGTTTAAAGCCACACACACACACACACACACACACACACACACACACACACACGCATACTGTCAAAACATGCAACTCAACCATCAATTACCCTGACTTCCTCTCCCTCTATCCTCCTCCTCCTCTTATGGTTTACATATATAGTATTCACTCCTCCTATCTGTCACTGTCATGGCTTCCCATTCATAAAAACAGATGCAGCTAAAATGAGTTTTTGCTATGCAGTTTAATCTGGAATAATTAACTCACAGGGACTGAAAGACGGGAGTTATGGTTTAAATAACAGCACATGAATCTTTATTATCAAAAAGGAAAGACAAGTCTTGTGATTATTATGTCATTTTACAGAGAAGAAAAAGCTGCCTGGCTCTTGTTTGCAGAATCTCATCTAAATCTAAATCTCATTTGCTGCTGTTATTGACCCCACATTACTTGAAATCAGACTTGCCCTCCACCTGCCCTCTTTCTGTCCTTACACATACCACAGCCCCACATTTGCTGTAAACATAACATGAATGAACTTGTAAAGCAAGGAAAAAAGGTAGGGGAGGAGGGGGAGGGGATGACAGACAGGAAGAGAGAGGACAGAGAAACAGCTGGTGAGTGAGTGGCGGAAGAAGGAAGAAGAAGAGGAGGAGAAGAGGAGAGAGAGACTGATTCTCTCAAATAGGCACTCACATCATCTCTTAGTCAGAGCCTCCCCTCCACGTATGAACACGAAGCTGCCGTCCCCTCGGCTTGCCCTTCCTTTCCTCCACTCTTCCTTCCCTCCTTCCTTCTGTCTCCTGTCTCCTGCATTCGAGGACGATCTCGACTCTTGTCCCCTTTTCCTCTCACATCCCTGCCTTTTTGTTTCCCTGCCTGCATGTCGGGGCTATACTGCTGTGATTCTGTGTACAGGACTGTATGTGTGTTTGTGTGTGCATGCATGTGTGAGAAAGAGAGGGAGAGAGAGAGAGAAAGGGGGGAAAGAGATGGCATGGATGAAAAAGAGAGAGAGATGGGAGAGGGAGCAGGAGAGGAAACAGAAGGTCCACATGATTGTATTTATGTGTGTCTGCATGTCTGCTTAATGTGATCTGTAGTGGTGTGTGTGTGTGTGTGTGTGTGTGTGTGTGTGTGTGTGTGTGTGTGTGTGTGTGTGTGTGTGTGTGTGTGTGTGTGTGTGTGTGTCGACTTTGCGTTAGCAATGTAGCACACACATTTTGATGCAGCTCTTTGAGCACAGACATCAAACTGATCCCCTGACTCTTAGGGGAACCTCTCCTGTCATGTTCTGCAAATTTCAGCCACAATCATTAGGGAGGTACATAATATACACAAAATGAAGTCTGTGTGAGACATCAAGTAAAAAACAATCCATGTATCTCACACTCAGACAAAACACCGCCGCAGTGTTTGGGTTATTCTGCATCTCCTCCAGTCTGTGTGTGTGTTAACTTGTCCTTATGTGACCCCAAAATGGTCTCATGTTGGCCAAGAGAGGAGCAGTGGTAGGCACAGACTGTGGACAGAGCATGTTTGGCAAATGCAGACAATCAATAAAGCAGCAGTTTAAAGCTTTAAACTCTCAGACTAATTGTAGTGGTGTTCTCCGTGTTTACAGATGAAAGTTTTCGCTTAAGTGCTGGAACAACGAAAAATATACAAATATAAAAATTCACGTCTGTCTTTATAATTGTTAGTCAATCACTGATGATTTACAGACTATTTCTACATTTAAAAAAATCTATGTGGGAATGCTTTACAGGGTTAATAAACAAGACAATTTCCTCACTTTTTGCCCTTCACGGACACTGGTGTGATCACCTGACACATGCTCTGCCAGTGATCAGAAAGACACCATCCCTAATGCTATTGGGGGATCACAGAATAATTTAAGTTTAAAGTACCCATACTGTGGGAAACACTTGAAATACAGTTAATTCAACAATGTAGACTAGGACATGCTCTGAAGAAAAATTTTCTCATCTCTGATAATTCAACTTGAATACTGAATTATGGTTTTATGTTTTTCTACCTGTAGCAGTAAGAAGGTGAATAAACGGAAGTAGAAATAATACTCTGTAACCTATAAAAATATAGATCCATCAACACAAAAAGCAGCAACATTTTTACAAACTGGAAATCAGAACAAGTTGAAGTTCAGTCGCATCCCTGCTACATTACAAGCATGTCTAATAAACTCTGAGTTAAAACCGTAGACTGTATATGGACAACTTGGCTCCGCCTTCCATCAATATGAATTTGAAGCCAAATTGCTCTCTGTATTTCTTGGGATTTTCTCCACTTCCTGGAACCACCACTTGCGCAGTAGCGTTGTATGCATTGGGTGGGAGAGTCACTGTGATGACACTCAGCTAAAACAGCGTATCCCCAATCTTTGTACGCCCATAGGCTGTATCAAGTGTAAATCATAGAAAACATGAACCCCCTAATAACTTTTAAAAATGGAGCTCTACAGAAAAAAAGAGGACTTGGGCACAAACCAGTCTTACAGTAACTACATGTCAACATCGCAACCAGGGGGAGAAAAATGTATATTCTGTGTAATAAATTTTGGAAGTTCGTCCACAGCTCTATAGGGATTGCTGGAGGAGGCGGGATTTATGACCTATACTGCAGCCTGTCACCAGAGGGTGCTGTTCTCGAAGTGGCTCACCTAGTGAGGAGGCAGGCGGCATCCATTCTATAAACAGTCTATGGTTAAAACTTGCAGTATTTCTATATATGAAAGGGAAAGAGTTATCTCCACGAATCTTTGTATGTTTTTGTATAGTAGTCAAAAATATAGTCACTTTGATATTATCCTTATTTACGACCAACTCTAAAGATTGACACTCCTCCTCTCATTTCTCCTGAACAATTTACGTTAATTGTCTCAAACCACCTCATCTCAGTTTGCAATGCTTAATTCTGACTGTTGCTTTATTTTGGTTTGTTTTGTCTCAAAATGTAGATGAGGGAAACCTTAAAGTTTAAAAGCAGGTTGATGATAATAATGATGCTTTCATAAAAGGACTGAACCGGTTTTTCAAATATTGTATCAATGTTGCTCAAATAAACAACTAAAATACAAGAATGTGACAAAATACAAGAATGTGACAAAATAATCTATAAATATTCACTGGGTGCTTTTCGTGACAGAACAAACCAGATTCATTTGAAAATAGTCACATATCTAAATTAGCTAAGATTCTGGCATGTTCCACCCTCACCAGCTGATTGACCTGATGAAATAAAAAGTAAAATGAGCTGGCATGCTTAATGTTGCAATCACAACTGGTTTAGCTGAACTGGGACAAAGTTAAGCTTTTGTAATGGCCATCCACACAATTGTTTTTGAGATTTAACCCATAAAAGAGAATCTGGGACAAAGTGACCTACAAAGATACAAAAATTGCTATTCAAATAAAAACAAATCGCACAAGATTCTTATTAGCCTTGCTAATAAGGCACGAGTTAAGGAAGTAAAAACAGGGGCATCCTGGGATATATGTTTCTGTTCTGACCTGCTTTTTGCTCCTGTTGCTTACACACACTAAGAAAACATCTCTTTTCACCCATTGGTAAACGGAGGATGGCTTTCCTCTTCATCCAAGCTCTTCATCCCTCTCTTCAACCCTCCTCTCCCTTTGGAGTGCCCTTCACTGTCTGACCTCCAGATGGAGACTCCCCAGGGGAGAGAGGGTGAGAGAAAGAAAATTAAAAAGTACAGGGGGTTTAGTAATGCAGTGATAAATACAAGAGTGAGGAAGGGATGCAGAGTTGGTCAGAAGACAGCCAAATATAGAGGGATGAAAGGAGGAATAGGTGAGATATTACATGTAGTGATAAAGGCTGTGAAAGTAGGCCCATGTGAGGGCGGCTCTGAGTCAGCCGTGCCTGCCTGCCTCGCCAAACAAATGGGCTCTGGCTTGGTCTCTCCTGCAGCACACGGCTTTAATTATCCATGATGTGTGTGTTAGCCCGTGTGCACAAACATATGTGTGTGATTTTGCATGGCTGACTACACAGCCTGCATGAAATGTCACTGTTATAGAAAAGCATGTTAATAATAAATGATATTTCATATGTGTGTGTAAGAGAGAGAGGGAGAGAGAGAAACACAATTACAGAGGGACATAAAAGAAAACACCAGAAGACAAAAACAAAGAGGCAGGCCTAGAAGCTTGAAAGTTGAGAAATGATAAAGGCTGGTGATGAGGGACAGAGTGACAAAAAAAAAGAGGGAATGAGGAAGGCAGAGTGCTGGGCTTCATGTAAATAATACATGTGATTGATAATGGCTTTGTTTCGATGTAAATAATTCTCTCTTTGCTCAGTTCAAGTCCCACAAACTGAAATGAGTTTGCCTTAAAGTGACGGAGAGTTGCCCTGATGCAGATTCAAGGCATTAAAAAGAATGTCATTTTATTAGGCTAAGGTAATGAGGACAAAACACACAAAGTCAAAGTCAATAGGCAAGAGTTTTACCCACTCGTGTGTCAACGGATCACCTACACAGAAAATCCATTTAAGTTCTTGTGCTCAGAAATACTAGAGATACTACCAAACTGTAGTAACCCTCCAACAGCCAATGGAGTAGCAGCTACATCAGTGTTTCCTGCAGGGTGACGGTGTAACTGTGGCTACGACAGGGGGAATATTTTTATATTGAAAATATCTGAAGAAATCTCTTCATCTCTCTCCTTAGCCCAATTGAATAACCTGAAATAGAGGTGAGGTTAGACCAAAATTATT